GGTTCAATCCCCCAGCACCACATGCCAGCCAGCCCCGCCCCCTGGTGGGCTGAGCTGGCCACACACACACACACACACCACACACACTCACTCTCTTTCTCTCTCTCTCTCAAATAAAACAATTAAAAAAATTTTTAAATGTGTTTTAGGCAGCTGAGTTAAAAATATAGGAAGTCAGGACTAGGGCCTCAAAGGAGCTGGTATGGAAAACAAGACTGTCTTGCAAGGGTGGGAGACACAGGCACTTCCCCTGGGGGCCAGGCCTCTAGACAAAAGATTAAACAAATGCACCCACATACCAGGGATTGATATTCTAAATACATACCAGTAACCCTGAAAAAGTCTTGAAGAACCAGTAACCCAACCTCCTATAGGAAAAGTTCCTGTTCTGTATTCATGCCTGCTTGCTAAGTATCTGGCTTGCCTATTTGATCCCAATTTAATCAATTTTACCTAAACAATTGCTTGCAATCTTACTGGTTGATCCTGGTTTCATCCTACCTCATGCCCACCTAGCTAGTTCCCATGTTTCCCACCTTGGACCCTCACCTCATGGATTTGCTCTATAAAAATCCCGAGAAAAGGCAGGTTCCTGGGCAACCCACTGGGATCCCCTTCTGTCTCTCAACAAATATATTCTGCTCTTAATCTCCATTGTTCCTAAAATTCATTCTTTGATTTTAGCACGAACTTGTCCCAACTGCGTTTCAGGTTGGGGGTTTCTTTCCCCTCTAGCAAAAGTTGCTAGCATGTGTAAGGAGTGTAAAAACCACAGTTGTATTTACCTGAACATGAAGCAGTCATGGCATTCACATGTGATTCTGTATTCAACCCTGTTTTGTCCCACTTTTGAGCTTTGCAGCCTGTAGCTTCCCTGCCCTCCCCCCCATGGGTGTCTTTGCATTAAGACAGGGGTCTCAGTTACCTTCCTTCTCTGGCAATCACCTCACAATCATTGCCCATCCTTTTTTTCTTAGAAGGGAATGGGTAGGTGACAAAGGTTTGAGGCCGTTTCTACTTCATACAATGGAGTGACATTGTTGCAGGCAGCTGAATTAGATAGAAATATTACAGGCAGGCAGACAGGGGCAGGCCTGCAAGAAGACAAGATGGAAGACAAGGTGACTTGGCAACTTTGGAAAAGACTGACATTCCCCGCTGTGGTCCGGACCTTAAGACAGAGGAGGCAACAAAAGTAGCCACATACTTCCCTAGGAATGGGCACCAGGGCTTGATATTCTAAATACGTATCAAGCACCTTGAAAGAGCCTGAATGAATCACTAATGTAACCCCCAACAGGAAGAGACCCTGTCCCATATTCATGCTGCTTGCTACGACTTGCTTCCTTTGGTATATTAATCCATTTTATCTGAGCAGTGGTGCTTGTAATCTCATTGGTTGACCATAGTTTCGTCCCACCTCATGCCCTCCTAAGCCAGTTCCCATGTTCCCCACCACCTTAGACCCACATGGTTTTACACTATAGAAGTCCCTGGAAGAGACAGCTTCCTGGGGATCACCTGCTCCGGGCGCCCCCTTCTGTCTGTCTCTCTCTCTCTCTCTCTCTCTCTCTCTCTCTCTCTCTCTCTCTCTCTCTCTCTCGGAGAGGAACTTTCTTTCCCCTATTAAATACGTTCTGCTCATAACCTCCGTTTGTTCCTCAAATTCTTCGGTTTTAGAGAACACCAACTCGTCCCAGGTACCTTTCAGGTCAGAGTTTCATTTTTTCCCCCCTATATCATTTGGAAGTCCCTACATCAAGGTGAGGTTAGTGGCAAGGGTTGTTTGCCTCCGAAAGAACGTTTTTCCCTTGGCTACTAGGTGTCACTAGCCATCAGGGATCTTTTTTTCCTGCCTCAATTCCGCGGCCACTACTCTGCAGTTGCAAGTTGTGGCTGTTTCGATAAAACTGAAATCTATGAACACTAAGGAGTGTCACATAGTTTTTCTGTATCATGAAAGATGCTTGAAAAAATTCTCATCATTAAAGAATATAAAAATCTTGAAAAGAGAGTTAAAAAAACAGCTGGCCCAATTTGGCCCAGTTTGCCCACCTAGCCTTAGACCTCAGGGCCTTTTAGGTGAACGCTTTTCCGGTGGCTTCTGGTATCTGAGTTTTCAAACAACTTTGACATTTCAGTTTCAGCTGAAATTGGAAGGAAAATGTATTGCAGGTAAAGATGGAAAAGGGCATTTTAGAATTACTGTTTATCGATTTAACTGCAAATTAGCTTGACTTCCAACTAACTTTCTTGCCCTTCCGGAGGAGGCATCACGGGCAGCCCGTCTCCAACTCAGCACTGATAAGGTCGAGGCCCTCCGTCGGGGCCGGCCACAGCGTGGACTCCGTGGCAGCCTGGCCACGTGCAGACAGACCTCCCCCGCCGCGGCCGCTGCCAGC